CCCTGGGTCCCGGGTGGCAGAGGCGGTTGGGGAGAAAGCGACTGTCTTTCTCCTCCCTGCTTCACATAAGTCACCCTTGGGGCCCACCGACATCAGGAGGATGAGCAATCTTTTCTGAGCATCTTGTTGAGCTGTGAATTGCCTAGTAGTCACATTCACCTAACCTACAGCATTAGGTCAACCTCTGTCTCTGGAACTAAGCAGCAAGAAGACAAAGGATTGTATTTGATCATTGTATAATCGAAACCCAAGCACAAAAAATTGTAAATCTACAACTGTACCTCATGGTGTTTCACTAATAATTAGAAAAAAAGTGTATAATAAAAAAAAGAAAAGAAGACAAAGGATTGATCTGATTGTGGGTTTTTTTTTTTTTTTGGCTTTTTGGGTCACACCCAGTGATGCACAGGGGTTCCTCCTGGCTCTGCACTCAGGAATCACTCCTGGCGGTGCTTGGGGGACCCTCTGGGATGCTGGGAATCGAACTCGGGTCAGCCGCGTGCAAGGCAAATGCCCTCCCTGCTATGCTATCGCTCCAGCCCTTGAGTCTATTTTTGCCAGCCTTGCCGTCTCACTCCCTGGCTCCTGCCTTCAGTCCCGGATTCCTGCCAGTAGCTCTAGCCAGGGAGTTTGGAGTTATTCCTCCCAGGGACTGTGATTGGTGGTGACCAGTTAGCCAATGGACAGCTTCTGGGGTCAACAAGGTCTAATTCAAATCTTTCCTTAGGTACAAATTTCCAACCATCCCTCGCCTCTGCGATCTGGGGGTGCAAGTTCCCACGCATGTGGGCCCATGAGGCAAGCATGAGGGAGCTAATGGGGCGGGGGGCGGAGGGGTGCTGTGAGGGGCTTCAAAGCACTTGCGGGTCAAATGCGACGGTTTGGTCGGTGCCAGCGATGATTATCTTGTGTTCTCAGAGGTGCTGGGTCACCAGGGACACCGATTTTTCAAGCTGACTTGGAAGCATTTTCATTTCCCAATTCTAGGCCTGAGTGCCTAATCTTGTCCGGTTTCAAATCCCGGTTCAATGAAAGGAACATATTGTGTGGTTTAAACAAAGAAAAGGAAAAGAAATCCCCAATCCCAGGGGTGGGTGCCTGGCGAGGTCTCCCTTCAGCCTCAACCCGGGAAAGGCAGCAAACACTTTCCAGAATCTTCCTTCCTGCTAGACTCACACACTCCAGACCTTGTCCTTTTGATGCATAGGGAAGGCCCCCTCCCCAGGCAATGGCAAAAGCCAGAACCTGAAGAAAACAGGAAAAAAACAGGAACTAAGGCCTGATAAGACCCTCACCTAACTACAGCAACAGACCCAGAGAAGCTCCTGCAGAAACAAAAGGCCAGGAAAGGAATTTCAAAGACCACCAACCAATCCCAACCCCCCTGTAAACCACCTCAGCAACAGACTTTTACATAGGAAGAAGCCCCACATGGGGGCAGGTTGAAGAAACCCTATGAAGGCCACCTTGAACAAAGCAAGGGAGGACACACACTGTCTGAGCCCATGTGCTGCTTGTTCTATGTGACCGAGCACATGTGGTGCCCGCATCTCCCCTCTTGAGATGTGGACTTTCATGCTTTCCCGTCTAATGCTGGGATGTGTGCAGGGCTCTCTCTGCCCTTGGAGAAGCCCGGATTCTCTCTCTCTCTGTCTCTCTTTTTTGCTTTCTGGGTCACACCCGGCGATGCTCAGGGGTTATTCCTGGCTCATGCACTCAGGAATTACTCCTGGCGGTGCTCGGGGGAACAATATGGGATTCTGGGAATCGAACCTGGGTTGGCTGCGTGCAAGGCAAATGCCCTACCCGCTGTGCTATCGCTCCAGCCCCCCGGGTTCTCTCTTGAGCACGTTACTCTCCACTCTCTCTCCCATTTTCTCTTCCTCCTTCCCTTCAAAAAAAAATTCTCCAAATATGGGACTGGAGCGATAGTACAGCAGGTAGGACGCTTGCCTTGCACGCGGCCGACCCGGGTTCGATTCCCAGCGTCCTATATGGTCCCTCGAGCATTGCCAGGAGTGATTCCTGAGTGCAGAGCCAGGAGGAACCCCTGAACATCGCCGGGTGTGACCCAAAAAAGGAAAAAAAAACCCTTCAAATAAAATTTGTTTTACTTCCCTGCTTGTCTACTTCTGAAATTCCTTTCTACGAGGCGAGACAAGAACCCAGTAACCCTGGGTCCCGGGTGGCAGAGGCGGGTCGGGAGAAAGTCTTTTTCCTTTTTCCTGTCTTTTTCCTCCACGCTTCGCAAGAACCACCCGTGGGGCCCACCGACATCACTTTGGTACCACAAGCTTCTTACTTTGCCGGGAGGCAAAGGAGGCTTAGCCCGGATGGCCAAGGAACCAGAAGCCAAGGTTAGAAGGCTCCAACCAGGAACAGGAGGAAAAGCTGCTGAAAAAAGATGAGGAACTCCCTCCTCAGACTTGCAGAACGAGTTTTCTGGCAGCTGGGGAGAAGAGCAATGGGATACCTGCAGGGGTGGGAGGAGGAGGCAGGGAAGGGGAGGGGCAAAGTGAGAACAGCCCCAGAATCCTGACACTGACCCGGACCCTTACCCCCCTCTGGGATCAACCCTCAGGATGATCCCCAAGTGATGAAACTTCTTTGGGTTTTGATTTTTGGGGGCGGGTCACACACAGCTCAGGACATACCCCTGGCTCTGTGCTCAAGGATCACTCCTGGTGGGGCTTCGGAGACTATTTGGAATGCTGTGGATCGAACCCGGATTGGATGCGTGTGGGGCAAGTGCCCTCACCACACCACTCTAGCTCTGGTACTAGTGGTGCGACTTGGAGTTGACACTGAACGCAAGCCCAGTGGTGGTGATGTCGGTGGGTCCCACGGGTGACTTATGTGAAGCGGGGAGGAGAAAGACGGTCACTTTGTTCCCAACCGCCTCTGCCACCCGGGACTGAGGGTTACTCGGTTCTTGTCTCTCCTTGCAGAAAGGAATTTCAGGAGTAGACAAGAAGTGAAATAAATAATTTTATTTGGAGGTTTTGGAGAGGAAGAGAGTGAGAGAGTAACGTACTCAAGAGAGAAAACGGGCTTCTCCGAGGGCAGAGAGAGAGCCCCTACACACATCCTAGCATTAGACACGAAAGCATGAAAGTCCACATCTCCAGAGGGGAGATGCGGGCGACACCTGTGCTCAGCCCCATGGGTGCAAGCAGCACATGGACTCAGACAAATGCAGGCCCTTCCTTTGGCCAACGTGGCCTTTATAGGGTTTCTCCAACCAGCCCCCCACATGGGGCTTCTTCCTAGGTAAAAGTCCCTTGCTAAGGAGGTTACCAGGGGGCTTGGAAATGGTGACTTTCTTTGAAAGTCCTTTCTTGGCCTTTTTTTCCTGCAGGAGCTTCTTTGGGTCTGTAACTGGAGCCTGGTGAGGGTCTTATCTGGCCTTGGTTCCGGTTTTCTGCAGGGCTGGTTTTTGCCATTGCCTTGGGAGGGGCCCTTCGCTGTCTACCTGCCTACATCAGTGGGGGGTGGAGTCTGGAGCAGGGGAGTGTGCCCTTGGGGGGCTCTATGCTCGGTCCCCCAGAGAAGAAGTAGGAGGTGGGGGTTTTGAGATAATGTAGGGTTTTGGGGTGATATAGGCAGGTAGCTAGCTAGAAAAGGTCCCATGACAATGGAATTCCTGGGAACTAATGAAAATCCATAAACCCAAGGCTGCAAAAAGTCTGGGTTGCAGACGTAGGAATTGTGGCCTGGTAAGTCTCCACCTGGTGCTAGCAGACCCAGAGAAGGTGGGCCACCCCCAAGCCCCTTCCAAAGTAGCTCCAGCAGGAACAAAAGCCAGGAAAGGAAGTTCAAAGAGGACCATGGAGACCCACTCCCAACTCTGGCTGCTTGGCAACCGCCCCAGCATGGACTCTTACCTAGCTAAGAAGCCCCATGCGGGAGCACTTGGAAAAACCCTATAAAGGTCACCTTGAACAGAGGAAGCGCGCACATATGCTGCCCGGGCCCATGTGCTGCTTGCGCTCACATGGCCAAGGACATGTGTCACCCGCATCTCTCTTCTGGAGATGTGTGCTGGGCTCTTCTGCCTTTGGAGAAGCCCACGTTCTCTCTCTCTCTCTCTCTCTCTCTCTCTCTCTCTCTCTCTCTCTCTCTCTCTCTCCTCTCTCTCTCCTCTCTCTCCCTCTCTCCTTTTAGGTGTTGTGATTTGCAATACAGGTACTAAGTGGCCATCATGTTTGGTCTATGGTCTACTCTCAGCATGCATCTCCCATACCCAGAGAGCCCTCCAAGCATCCTTTACTTGGTGGTCCCTTCTCTATCCCAGCTGCCTTTCCCCCCAGTATGTGAGGCGGGCTTCCAAGCCTGTGGAGCAATCCTCCTGGTACTCATCTCTACTTCCGTTTTAATTTCTAATACGGTAAAAAATCTCAATGAAGGTAACCCACATATCAAAAATTTTTGGCTCAGTCATTTTTGTTGCTGTGGTTTTGGGGGTCCACACCGGGCGGTGCTCAGGGCTTACTCCTGGCTCTGCGGTCAGGGTTTGGGGGGACCAGATGGGGTGGGCCGGAACCCCGCTTGGCCTTGGGCAAGGCCAGTGCCCTCCCCCCTGGACTATCTCTCCAGAAGCTGGGCTACTGCCCGGTCATCCCCAGACCAGGTGTCCCGGCGCGTTGGGGAGTAAATCCCACCCCCCTGGCTCCAAGCAAGAGAATAAAAGGAATCCTGGCGTGGAGACTGACATCCCCCATCTCCCCATCATTTCTCCCTTTGAGGGGCGCTGAACTGGGCATTTGCCCCCGTCCGGGCGTCTCGGGCGCCCCCTGCTGCCCGCGGGCGCCCCTTGCACCTCGCCCGGCTGCCGCCGCGGCCCGCGGGGAGCGCCTGGCCCTTTAATTGGGCCGTACCAAGTGCGCGCGGCGCCGCGGCCCCGCGGGGGTCCCGGGAGCCCCCGAGCTCGGCCGAGCGCCCGGCGGGGGCGGGGGAGGCGCGGCGGGGGGCGCGGCGGGAGGCGGCCGGCGGAGGGGGGGTCTGAGCGCGCCCGGGGACCCCGCACCCGCGCCCCGCGCCCCCCCTCTCGCGTCGGCCACTCCCAAGATGGCGGCCACCATGAAGAAGGCGGTGAGCGGGGTCGGGGCGGGGGGCGCGGGGTCGGGGGTGAGGGGGCGCGCGCCGGGAGCGGGCCGGGGGCGCGGGGGGCGCGGGGGGCGCGGGGCAGCGGGGATCGCGGGGTTCGGGGGTCGCACGGGCGCGGGGGCGCGGGCGGCGGGACACGGGGGGCGCGGAGGGCGGAACGCGGGGGTCGCGGGGGGGGCAGGACACGGGGGTCTCGGGGGGCGGGACACGGGGGGCGCTCGGCTTGGGGGTCGCGCAGGCGGGGGACAGCGGGGGGCGCACGTGCAGGTAGTGGGATGCGCCGCTCGGGTCCCCAGGGCATCCCCGATCCCGGGGGTCGCGCAGGCTGGGCTCTGGCGGGCGTGGGGTGTGGGGAGGGGTCCCAGCGCGGGCCCGATCTGGGGGTCCCGGCTCGCAGGCCTCGCCCGCGGGCAGTGGGAGGCGTCGGGCCACGAGGCTGCTGCGGGCGGGACCGGCCCGGTCCGGCCCGGCCCGGAAGCCCAGAGAGGTGCAGGCACCTGCCCGGGGTCGCACGGTGGCCCGGCCGGGGTCCTAGCCCCCCTGCTGACCCCCCCGGTGGTCGGCTCCGGACTGCCCACGAGCTGCCCCCCGAGCACGTGGGGCCCCGATCTCGGCCCGTCCCCGCCCCTCCTCCCGCAAAAAAAACCCCGCGAAGTGACTCAGCTAAGAAACTGTCGGGGCTCGAACCCGGGGGTCCTTTCCCGCCCAGCGCAGTCCAGTCCAGTCCAGTCCGGCCGGTCTGCAGAGCGAGCTGCCCCCCGGCGGTGTGGTCCGGGCACCGCCGAGCAAACGAGCAGACGCCTGCGGGCAGCCCGGTGCTAGGGGCCACGCGGCTGTGGTTTGGGGCTACACGCTCTTGTTACAGTAGCAGGAACTGTGACGGGCTTGTTTCCTTTGCTGTTTTATTGGGGGGGGGGGGGGCACACGGTGCCCTGGGGTTGCTTTGGGCTGTCTGGGGATCACTCCCCGCAGGGCTCAGGAGATGCTCTGACAAATGCTGTCACTTGGGCCCAATACTGGTTTTTTTTTTAATATCACTATCTCTTTCATCCCGCCAAGCGCGAGTAACGGCTCCATTCGTCCCTGTCACGTGCTAGTGTAGCCTGATGGCATATTGGGGGCTCTTTCAGTGTCAGGGGGATGAGGACCATCACTTTTACTGTTTTTGGCATATGGAGTAGGCCACGGGGAGCTTGCCAGTCTCCGCTGTGCGGGTGGGATCCTCTCTCTGAGAGGGATGGAGACTTTGGGGGCCGCCTCTAATCACCTTTACAGGTGTTCCCAGTCAGGCGTATATGCGGGCAGGATACTCTTGGTAGCCTATTTAAAAAAAATAGATCTATATACATTTTAAATAGTTGAATTAATTTGGGGCCGGCCACGGGTGTTGTGTTCTGGTCTTCTGGCTCTGCACTCAGGCTGCGCTCCCGGTGATGCTTGGGGGAGTCCAGGGTGGAACCGGGCTTGGCTGTGTGCGAGCCTCGACTCTCTCCAGCCCCGAGGTGGGCACGTCCCTCTCCTTGGTGGCTAGCAGATGGCCCCTGGCAGTGGGATTTCATGTCTTGGCTGGTGCTGACTTGGTCTCCCCCACTCGCCCTGCCCCCCCCCCCCCTCCTGCTCTGGGCCGCCCAGTGGGCCTGGTTTGCCCGAGACTAGGGAGCACTAACTTGTGGGTCATGATTCGGACGGGTCAGCTTGGGACTCGGGGGCTTCACTTTGCCTTTCGGAGAACATGGTTCCTCCACTAGGGAGGACTTCCCCCTCATTCCCCAAATAAGGAGCTGCTTCCCCCGGGCTCACGGAGGTGGCTGCAGCATGTTGAGAGGGAATCCAGGCAGGGAAGGTGCTGGAAGGGTCAGAAGCTGGACTTGGCGTGCCAACAGCCCCTTAGTCCCCCCTGTAGGGTTTTCCCTTCCTCCCTGGACGCTGGGAGCTTGTGTTAGTTGATTGCCCCCCCCCCCCCATCTGTCAATTACCTTTATCTCCGGATCAGACTCTGACTTGTAAATATTGTCTTTCTCTCCTCCTTAGTGTCCTTCTCTTGGTTAGTTATTTCAGAGCCATTGCTTTTTGCATGGATACTGGGAAGACAGTTAAAAAGACAAGCCTGTGGCTTGGGGGTTGATTGACTCCAGATGATATTACCTCCTGGGCATCTGCTCTCTCCACTTAAGCCTCAGTTGCCCTTCCTTCCTAGAGCCCCCCAAACAGGGTCCCGACGAGGGGCTGGATGGACCCAGGGCAAGCGGTGAGCTGTGAGCTACCCTGGCATCGAAATGGGCCTGGCCAAAGTGCCCTGATGCTTAACTGTCAGTTAAGAGCGTGGTCATGGACAGATTCTGTCATGATCCAAAAAGTAGTAACTAGATTTGGGCCTGGCTGGGGTTAGGGACGATTTGATCCGGCCTGAGTACTGTAGTCTGTGGTGAGATGCCCCCAGGAGAGTCACCCTGCCAGCCTCAAAGTGTCTATTACTGTGTCCATACAGAATGGTAAATACTAGGATGGAGAATTAAAGATGCTAATTAAAGTTGCAGGTCTCAGGAGAGGAGAAACACACCTTCAGGGCTGTTTTGCCCTCGTGGGCTGCAGGTGGTCGCGAAGACTGGGGAAACATTTTTGATCACGCTTCTCGTGGGGAGGTGTGGTGAGACCCCCGTGCGGAACATGGCAACAGGTGCCAGAGCAGATAGATCTGTCCCTGCATAGCGGCCCAGTAGGGAGTGTCTGGGTGCATTTCACAAGCACCAGGTATCCCCCCCCCCCCCCCAAGAGTGAATTGTCTCCTAACTGCATTCCTGACTGCAGCTTCGGCAAAGCAGAGCTGGAAAGGTGATAGGTCGGTAATGCTCAACTTCATGTGACTGACCATTCTCTTAAGCCAAGACCCCCAGTAAAATACGTGTGTATTTGGCTGGAGCTATAGCACAGTGGGTAGGGCGTTTGCCTTGCAACAGCCAACACGGCCGACTCTGGTTCGATTCCTCCGCCCCTCTCGGAGAGCCCGGCAAGCTACCAAGAGTATCTCGCCCGCACGGCAGAGCCTGGCAAGCGATCTGTGACATATTCGAGATGCCAAACACAGCAACAACAAAGTCTCACAATGGAGACGTTACTGGGCCCGCTTGAGCAAATCGATGAACAACGGGAGGACAGTGCTACAGTGCTTGGCGTAGGGTGAATAGCCATCAGCTGCTGTTGGAGGGTGTTTCTCCGCACGCCCGTCATCCTTGCCCTGCGTCCGGTGCGCAGCGTGTCTGGGCACGTAGGGGAAAAGCTGTTCCTCAACAGCTGGGCGGGCCTTTGCTTCTTACGTATCGGCTGTGGGGAGCCCTGAGGAGCGGGGGGGGGGGTGGGGGGGTGGGGTGGGGGGGGGAGGCCAAGCTCTCGGCTTCTCTGGCCTCTGCTCTGAGCAGGCGTTTCTGGGGCTCACTCTGCAGCTTCCGTTCTGCAGTGTGGGCTGGGGGAGATCATTCTGCGCCCAGAGAATACTTGCCCGAGAAGGCGTGCTCCACCAGGTGTGCAGGGAGGGGAAGGGAGCGACGGGGTCCCGAGCTCGGACCCCGGTGCAGTTACCAAAGGAGGGTCTCGTGAGGGAATTAGCAGGGCCGAGCCTTGCTCCTGTGGAGGGGGCGACCAGTGGCCTGAGGGGTCGGGCTCATCCTCTCCTAAGCCCTCCCAGCCCCGCTTACCCCTTCCCTGCTCCCCGTCCCCCCAGTGTCCCCCCGAAAGGACTCATCCTCTCTCTCTCTGCCCCAGCTCCTGCCTCGGAGTCCTGGTTCCCTGCCAGGGCAGGGGCCTGGTGCTTGGTTTCTCCTGAAGCGCCCCCCCCCCCAACACACCCCTCTAGGCTCCTGCTCTCGTCACCACGTGTCCTATGTCCGTCCCCCAGAATTACCCAGACTGAGAACCCCGCAGCCTGTGCCAGTACATCCGAAGCCACCTTGTAGGACGAGGGGCTACGTGGGGAGGGTCCAGGCCCGAGCAGGCGGTCGTGTCCCAGCCACTCAGTGGGCCCCAGGAAACGGCTCAGAGCAGTGGGGACCAGCGGCCCCCAGGCGGGCCACCGTGCTGTGCTCGCTCCACTCCTGGGCCATGTTGGGGTGCAGAGTGAGCATGTCGGTGGGGACTCTCGGGTTTGGGGGATCCTTCCAGACCCCCGCCCGAGCACTCGCTCTTGCACACACAGATCTCCCGCAGGTGGGTGTCGTTGCCTGAACCCCTGCTCAACGCGAACCACTCCCTGCCTGCAGGCGGGCACCCAGGAACCCCCTCCTGGCCATCCCCTGCCGCCTACCGGTCCTGTGGCCTTCCACCCTCTCCCTCCCTCTCTCCTGAGACTGCACATCTGGCCCCCACATCTGCTTCCAGCCTCTCCGCCCCGGCAACTTCAAGAATTGGGCCCGTTAGCACACCAGCAGCCCGGACCCAGGAACTCCCAGTTGAATCCCAGAATGGATTCGCTCCTTACAGAGGGGTCTCTGGGACCCAGTCATTGACAGTCTTAGGATTCCAGAAGCGCGTGTCCACTTTCACGGGTATGCAGACCCTCATGATAGACAAAATGAGCGATGGGAAATAAATGATCTTGCTTCTGCTGCAGGCAGGCAGGCTGGAATGGTGTTGGGAAAATTCCAGCAAAATAGAATGCCCAGAAGTTAGAGTGTGTCGGGGAAATCGTCTGCCGTAGAGACAGGGGGAGGACTTTGGATGGGATGGGGGAGATCCTGGGGATGTTGACTGGGGAGGAACGTGCACTGGTGGAGGGATGGGTGTTCAATCATTGTACGGCTGAATCTCGAACATGAAAGCTTTGTAACTGTAGCTCACAGTGATTCAATAAAAAAAAATAAGAATTGGGCCAGGAAGATAGTTCAGTGGTCAGAGCACTTGCCTTGTTCTTGTTCCCCCCCCCCCCCCACCCGCCCCATGGTCCCTGAGTGCAGAGCCAGGAGTCAGCCCTGAGCCCTGAGCACTGTCCTAAGGGCAGTTGCCCAACGCGTTAGTAGGGCTGACGCTTGGCACGTCAGCGCCTAAGAGCTCAGTAGACCTCAGTACACCTCAGCCGCTGCTGCGGGATTTCACAGACACTTGATGGAGCAGGGACTTTATCTGCAGACATCATCACCTGGAGCGTCGGAGACCTTCCAAGTTTCATCATTTCGTAGCTGGTTATAATTGAGACACGAATAGGTTCTGCATCCAAATAAACGTGATGTTTTTACTCCGAGGGGGCAGGCCCGTTGCAGTGCCCAGGGACCCTCCAGCCCAGAGGCGCCCCAGATTCTTCCCGCAGCCCCTTTCAAGGAAAAGCCACTGCACCCTCCTAGAAATGGACCTTCTTTTTTTTTTTTTTCTTTTTGGGCCACACCCAGCGATGCCCAGAGGTTACTCCTGGCAATGCTTGGGGGACCCTATGGGATGCTGGAGACTGAACCTGGGTCGGCCGCATGCAAGGCAAACACCTTCTCCTTTGTACTATCGCTCTGGCCCCCAAATGTACCTTCTTTAAGGAAACAAACAGAAAGCGCCCCCTGCCTCCCCCCCCCCCCCCCAGCCGTAAAACTCTACCTGATATCTCAGTGGGGTTAAAAACTATAGCAACTGACAGACTAAGCTACAGGAAGCTGAATAAACCCAAACTCTCCTGGGGCAAACCCGCAGGGCTGAGTACCAGCGCTAATGACCAGATTGTTCCGGATTCAGGGATTCCTAATTGTTTACATTTGAAAGGCCTCCGTAGCAGAGATGTTATTCTGCTTGAACATCAGGCTGTAGGGTTATGAACAGGTCTTACTCCTGTAACAACAAATGGATAAGGGCTAGAGCAATAGCACAGCGGGGAGGGTGTTTGCCTTGCAGGAGGCCAACCCAGGTTGGATTCCCAGCATCCCATAGGGTCCCCCCCCCCCCCCCTCCCCGAGCACCACCTGGAGCAATTCCTGAGTGCAAAGCCAGGAGTAAACCCTGAGTATCTTCGGGTGTAATCCAAGGTGCCAAAAAAAAAAAACAACAACACCAAAAAAACAGATGAATAAGGCTGATCTTTGGGACCTGTCTTGTGAGTCTGTATAGTATGAGGCAAATGACTTACTGAGTTAAAGTCAGAATTATATTACAAGCTGGCCCGTAACGTCTCGATTAAAGCAATTCTCTAAATTCACTTTCAGGCTGCAGAAGATGTCAACGTTACTTTCGAAGACCAGCAAAAGATCAACAAATTTGCTCGGAACACAAGCAGAATCACAGAGCTTAAGGAAGAAATAGATGTGAAGAAGGTATTGAAAACGTGTGTCTCATTTAAGACGGCTGACTCTTTTTTTTTTCTGTAGCCCCTAAACATGGACTTTTTCTTGAAATGTGATTGATTCTCTTTCTGGGCCCTTGGTATGGTTGACATAAGCCATCTACAAAGTGGAGGAGCTATTTTTTCCCCTTTTTCGTTTCTTTGTTTCGGGGCCACACCTGGCCGTGCTTAGGACCTCCTCCTGGCCTTGTTCGAGGGGCTCACTCCTGGCGGGGCTGAGGGGACCCTGTGTGGGGCTGGGGGGACCACTGTGGTGCTGGGATGGAACCTGTGTCAGGTGTTTGACTTGCAAGAGTTCAGGTTTCACATGTAGGAGACCTGGGTCTGGGCCCCGATACCCCATGGTACCCTTGATACTTCCAGGAGCCTCTCTCGAGCTCCAGCAAGGGGGCTAGCCCCTGAATATCACCAGGGATAGCACCAAACCCCACCCCAAAGAGAAGAAGAAACGTGGGGCCTTCTCTGGGGTGGGGGTGGGAAGCTGGACCTCCAGGGCCACAATCTGCGGTCCTGGGGAGTTAAACACTCGGGGAGCCTCTTACGTGCTAGGCCTGTGCCCCACCCCTGGAGGTCAAGGTCTGAAAGGGTAATGGGACTGTGTATTTGGCTGGCTCTGGGACCCATCTAGAACCCCGTCTCAGAGGGATATAGCTGCCCTGAGCATTGTCATCCTTTTTTTTTTTTTTTTTTTGTCTTTTTGGGTCACACCCAGCGGTGCTCAGGGGTTCCTCCTGGCTCTGCACTCAGAAATTACTCCTGGTGGTGCTCGGGGGACCCTATGGGATGCTGGGGATTGAACCTTGGGTCGGCCTCGTGCAAGGCAAACGCCCTCCCCGCTGTACTATCTCTCCAGCCCCTTTTTGACCCTTCTGACCTGAGCATACCCTCCTCCTTTCACAGTGAGAACCCGGGCAGCGGCCCCCGGGGCCCAGGAACCAGCCACAGCTCAGAACCAGGCTCTGTCTCACGGCCCTCCTGAGTCCAGGCAGGACTGTTAGTCCTTGCTGGGAAACATCCCGGATGGCTGCAACGGGGCGGAATTCCTAAAGCTAATCTGTGCGCCCTCAGATGCCCGTTGTCCGCCCTGTGTGCTCTAATCTGGGAGTCAAGAGGCCAGCATGCTGGCTCGATCCTAGGTGCTCTCTTAGGAAATTGTCCTCTTTGGTCAGAAGAAAGTCTTCCTTTAGTGTGATGCCACTGGTGCTGGAGCAATAGCACAGCGGGTAGGGCGTTTGCCTTGCATGAGGCCGACCCGGGTTCGAGCCCCAGCATCCGTAGCATCCCCCAAGCACCGCCAGGAGTAATTTCTTTTTTTTTTTTCCCTTTATTTTATTTTATTTTTTTTTACAGTTGTAGATTTACAATTTTTTGTGCTTTGGTTTCAATTATACAATGATCAGATACCCATCCCTCCACCAGTGCCCATTTTCCACCACCATGGATAATATCCCTCCCACCCCCATCCCCCCATCCCCCCATCCCCCCTGTCTCTGTGGCAGGGCAATCCCCTGTGTTCTCTCTCTCCTTTTGGGTGTTGTGGTCTGCAAAAGAGGCATTGAGTGGCAAACATGTTCAGTCCATAGTCTAGGAGTAATTTCTGAGTGCAGAGCCAGGAGGAACCCCTGAGCATTGCTGGGTGTGACCCAAAAAGACAAAAAAAAAAAATAGCGTGATGCCATTTCTGAGAAAGGGTCCCTCAGCGAGTTGGCTCTGAGCCCAGGTTCAAAGGACTTTTCCTTGAGTCTGTGAGATGCGGCCGCATCCCTTTCTCAAGGCGGTTTCCTCCTGCATTTACAGAAGCAGCTCCAGAATCTCGAAGACGCTTGCGAGGACATCATGCTGGCGGACGACGACTGCTTGATGATTCCTTACCAAGTCGGGGACGTTTTCATCAGCCACTCCCAGGAGGAAACGCAGGACATGTTAGAAGAAGCAAAGGTAGGTCGGAGCCTGGATCCCGGCGTGAGGCTCTGGGGTGGGGACACGGAGCCCTCGGGGGCTAAGCTCTCCCGTGCCCCAGATGTGCCCAGATGCTCTGCAGACCCCTGTGGGCTGGGTTCTCCCTGTCCCACCTGAGAGCGGTGGACGGGAACTGGGGGATATTAAGGAATCAAAGTGACACAGGGACGCAGAGGAATGTCTTCGGGTTCCAGAAGTTGCGCTCTAAGTTGAGAGTAGACAGGAAGGTGCGTCCCCTGCCCGGGCTTTTGACCCTCGCTGGCCGTTTTCACTTCCTTGCGTCCCCTCCCCCCTTTTCTCCGTGTCTTGGCCAGCCTTGCAGCCAGCTCCCGTGCTAGTCGGCCTGTCCTTCGTTTCATCTGATGCTCAGTATCCAGCAGGAAGTCCCCGGGGCCCTGGGATGCTCCACGCACACAGGCTGTAGCCTCATCTTTCTTTTCTTTGCAGGGGCTGGAGAGAGAGCACAGGGGTGTGGTGTGGCACTTGCCTTGTATGTGACTTGTCCCTGGTTCATGCCCCAACTCGGCCAGGAGTGATCCCCAAGCACTGCCAGGTCTAGGTTCAAATTCTTACCCCAGCCCGCATTTCCCCCCCCCCCCCCCCCCCCCCAAATAAAATAACTGACATTGCAGGGGCTGGAGCGATAGTACAGCAGGTAGGGTGTTTGCCTTGCATGCGGCCGACCTGGATTCGATTCCCAGCATCCTATATGGTGCCCCAAGCACTGCTAGGAGTAATTCCTGAGTTCAGAGCCAGGAGTAACCCCTGTGTATCAATGGGTGTGACCCAAAAAGAAAGAAAAAGAAAAAAAAAAAACAAAGAACTGACATTGGAAATAAAATTAAGATAAGGAACTTCTTGATAAAAATAATAGCATAATACAATTTTAAAAATGGGCAAAGACCCCATAGAATTCTCACACTTAGGGGGCTTGGAGAGGGGGGCCCCAGAATCTCTAACAAATGTCCTGGTGGTCCCGCACTGAAGCAGGGGTCTGGAGGGGAGTGCCCAGGTGGTCTCGCCCTGATGCGGGGTCTGCAGGCTCCCTCGGAGGTCATAGATCCGGTTGCATTGTGGGGACCAGCTCCACTTCTGTTCCAGAGGTTGATCTCATGCCATTGTTGTGATTTTATATTATCTTTGTCGTGTTGGGGGAAAATCCTTTTTTGATCCCAACCAGGAAGGGATGTCTGATATTTTATGAGATTTTGTGTCGTTCTGTAAGCTTGCCCTTAGAAGCAAGGCACTCTTGGGGCCGGAGCGATAGCATAGCAGGTAGGGCATTTGCCTTGCATGCAGCCGACCCAGGTTCGATCCCTGGTATCCCATATGGTCCCCCAAGCATTGCCAGGAGTAATTCCTGAGTGCAGAGCCAGGAGTGACCGCTGAGCATCACTGGTCAGGGTGTGACCCAAAAAGCAAAAAAAAAAAAAAAAAAAAGAAGCAAGGCACTCTTGATTGCATGCTCATCAATTCTGGGTGTTTCTGGGTGAAATAAAAATTCCTGCCCTGTTTCAATGATAAAAACTGTTGTTGTTGTTATTATTATTATTATTTTGCTTTTTGGGTCACACCCTGTGATGCACAGAGGTTACTCCTGCCACTGCACTCATGAATTACTCTTGGTGGTGCTTGGGGGATCATATGGGATGCTGGGAATCGAACCCGGGTCGGCCACCTGCAAGGCAAATGCCCTACCTGCTGTGCTATTGGTCCAGCCCCAACAACTGTTATTCTTAGTTATTGATGGCATGGTGGAATCCTCTTATTTTTCTCTAGTGTGATCCTTGTGTGTGGCAGACTGGAAGAGAGCGGTTCAGAGACCTTCCCTGAAAGTAGAAATGCTTTGCAGACATTCTGCATATGTGTTTTTCTTTATCCGAATCCCGTACTTTGGGAATTAATTTTCTCCTACTCTTCGGCTTTGTATTTTCTGTTTGCATTTTCTTTGTGGTTCATGGGTCACACCTAGCTGTGCTCAGGGCTTACTCTTGGCTCTGTGCTCAAGGGATGATACGTGTGCAAGGCATTCTGTGTACTCTCTCTCCAACCCTGGTGTTTTAGTATTCTTTTTAACTCAGCAGAAACCAAGAAAACATGCTATTGTAAGAAGTACGGGCAATGAAGTAAAAATACTGACATTTAAACTTTTTTGTTTTAACTCTAGTTGTCAGCCTTACTTAACTGCTTGTCCAAGTTTAGAAAGTCTTTTGACCTCAAATTCTTCCCCCAAATTTCTTAAAATTCTTCCCGCAGATGCTCAGAAAACATCCAATCGAATAGAATTAATTTAAGCTTTTTATTTTCCTTCAGAAAAATTTGCAAGAAGAAATCGACGCTTTAGAATCCCGAGTAGAATCCATTCAGCGGGTGTTGGCTGATTTGAAAGTACAGTTATACGCGAAATTTGGGAGCAACATAAATCTTGAAGCTGATGAAAGTTAAACATTTTATAACTTTGTTTAATAAACTTGAATGTTGTTTAAAATGGCAAATTCCCTTCTTGAAATGATATGGAAAGTAAACTGGCTTTAAAATTTTTTTTTTCATTTATTTAATGGAAGCGCCTGTTTTTACATGTCTTGCTTATTTATTTTATATTTTTAAAGCACAGTATTCATCTTTGTATTTTGCATAACATGAAGTGTAGGGGCCATAATGTTATGTCATTAAAGTCAATCAAGCAATCTCTGATGTTTCTCTATTCTCCTTGAGCATATTTCTTGCAGATTTTACGTCTGAGAAAATTTAAGAGTTGTGTCTTGTTTTGATGCTTATTTCAGTCTCTTGAATGATGGAAGGACAGAAAGCTGCCATCCTGTATATCTGTTCTTTTCACAACTAAAATTGCATCTTATGCTTCAAAAGTCATATGTATATATCTTATTCAAATATATGTCATGTATAGAATATTTAAAGAGACGTTTCAACGTACCTTCCCTGTGTGCCGAGAGCTTAGAACAGGGTGACCAGACCTTGAGCGTTTTTCAGACAACCGACAAATGTTCAGGAAGCCAAGAGATGTATCGGTAGCAAAAAATACTTAAGTGCTTTTGAAAAGGACTGAAACTTGATTTTTTTTTTTTTTTTTTTGCTTTTTGGGTCACACCTGGCGATGCACAGGGGTTACTCCTGGCTCTACACTCAGGAGTTACTCCTGGCGGTGCTCAGGGGACCACATGGGATGGGACCACAAACGCCCTACCCACTGTGCTATCTCTCAAGCCCCGAAACTTGATTTTGGAGGGCTTTGTAATTGTTGGAAGATGCTCGACTCCAATCTTCCACCCAGATCCTCCAAATTCCAGTAGGTGGGGGTCACACCCACCACCTGGCCCCCTGGCGCTGTGTAATCCCATCAACGGCCAAGACTCAGAGACTATAAAATCCAGCTCCCAGAACCTGACATCTTATCAGGACATCTTTTTATGACATCTTATTATCTCATTCCTACTTTGGACAAACTTGCAGGCTATCGAATGTAGCCTGCCCACAGGGCAGAGTCTGGCAAACTCCCCGTGGCGTACCAAATATGCCAAATGCCAGTAACAATGATGGGTCTCATTCTCCTAAAGAGCCTTGAATATAATCTCAGGGCTAGGATGAAAGAGACGTTACTGGGTCCTGCTCGAGGCAATCGACGAATAACAGGATGATGAAATGAAATGAAATGAAAATGTAATTGTTAGGGTTTCTGTAGATGATGTGGAAGTTAACCAACTGGATGTCTTTAAGCCAAGACTGCGAGTTTGCCCTGTATCTGGTCCTCCCACAGGCCTCCTTTGAGCTGATTTAACTGTCCAGCAGATGGCACTGATGTGCCAGTGGGCTGTGGAAGGCTCTTCTTACCAAAATGAGGGTATTATTTCTAGGACGATGCATTAGCACAAACTGAAGATTGCGTTTTGTATGTTTTGGTTACGTGTTGAGAAACAACTGAGGTGTGAAGAGATCCAGTTCTCAAATACCCCCGTCGTATAAAGGCAAACTTTAGAATTTCCAGGACATCCATCCGCATAGTGATTTGCAGATGCTAGAACCAGACTTCGAGGCTTGATGTTGTTACGTTGCAGGAAGGAAACCGGATATTGATCAGGTGTGGCGGGGAAGAGATCCCTGGCTCAGATGCGAGTCAGTCTGAGAAAATTCGAGCAGAAGTTGTGAGTGTGGAGGGCTAGCCCGGTTAGGAATGTGGAGAGTAGGTCTGGGGATGCCTTGTGATCCCCCAGGCCAGGTCCCTGGCAGCCCTGCCCCCTGGGAGCCCCAAAGCTGCGTGACTTTGTCTGGGACCCCTGGGTAACAGAGCCTGGAGTTCTCCCCAGCCTCCTCCCTTCAGATCCAGCTGAGGCTACCACTGGCCAACGCCCCGAGGGGTCCGGGGCCCATCTCTCAGGGCTGGGGCAGGAAAGGCCACGGGTGGTCAGTACAGGAGGGGCCAAACCTGAGAACTTTCCACTCTGAAGACGAAGCTGACTTGGGCGGCAGAAGCATAATTGTAGAGCTGACCAGGGCTTGCCCTTCTGCCGGTTCGGCTCATTGCTGCTAATTCTGGGCTAGTCTCTTTTTTTTTTTCTTTTTTTTTCTTTTTTGGGTTACACTTGGTGATGCTCAGGGGTTCCTCCTGGCTCTGCACTCAGGAATTACTCCTGGCGGTGCTCGAAGACCCTCTGGGATGCCGGGGATTGAACTGAGGTCAGCTGTGTGCAAGGCAAACGCCCCACCCACTGTGCTATCGCTCCAACCCCCCTCCTTGGGTCCCTTTCTGACCCAGTAGCCAGATCCTCCCTCTGACTCTAGATCTGATTAGGCTGTTCTCTGCCCCCAGTGCTCTCCTCCTGGCCCCCTGTCTCCCCCAAGAGTAGTGGGGAAAGAGGCGTCTCACAACCAGGTTGCTTTATACCTTCCCACTCCCATATTCCTCTCTCTGCACAGGGCAGTGGCGCTTCCCCACGTCCCCCAAGTCCATCTTTTTTTTTTCTTTTTCAGAGGACTCGGGTCCTTCCCAAGATTCCCCACGGTGTTCACGACCCCAGTCGGCAGCATTCTTACACTTGGGGTCACCCATGCAGATGCCTGTGTTCTCAGTAACGGAGCCAGGTCCAGATGATGTCGTTAGTGGGGGACGAGTCTATCCAAGGACCAGGATTGCTAAAGACCCAGCCACAACCCTCCTAGGTAGGAATCACCGAAAGGTGAGACCACCTCTCTCCAAGACAGATTCAGGAATGCAGGTGAGCCTTTGCTCTCCCCTGCCATAACCTGGGAAGGTAAAGGTAAAGGTAAAGGCCCTCCCGTTGATCGTCGATTTGCTCGAGCGGGCCCAGTAACGTCTCCATTGGAGACTTTGTTGTTACTGTGTCTGGCATATCGAATACTCTCGGTAGCTTGCCAGGCTCTCTGAGAGGGGCGGAGGAATCGAACTCGGGTCGGCCATGTTGGCTGCTTGTAAGGCGAACGCCCTACCTGCTGTGCTATCACTCAACCTGGGAAGAAATGACCCAATTTCCATTCGCAGGAGAGTGGAAACCTAACATTTGGCTTACTCATGCAGTGAAATATGTCACGGCGGTAAAACAAAAAAGGGATAAATTACTCTGACATGCAAAAAAAAAATTAATTCATGCGTCTCACTGATGGAAAGGCAACGTGGAAGGAGGCAAAGACACATGTTCTGGATGATGCTACGTCTGTGAGTCGGGCTATCAAGGATGAGGGCAGAAGGCCGGCTCCTGGGGGAGGACCCCACCCAACTGCTCTCCAGGGAGCAATGAGTAGCAGCGTTGGGACAAGCCTGAGCCAGCAGCCTGGGCCTGGGCCGCCTTGCTCGGTGCTGGGCTCTGTCCTGTGGTGGGCAGTTGGGCTGGCTCCCAGGAAGGAATCTCCCTGAGGCGAGAGGGCACATGCCAGGCGTTCCCCACCAGCCAGCATCTCACGACTCACCGGCTGCCTAAGGATTAGTCCCAAGCCTGAGGCTTCAGCGTCTGCTGCGAACTGTCTCTCCGAGGCTGCAGGGTGTGGTTTGGGCGAATTCTCCGGGGTCAGTGGATTCCCAGGGGCAGCTGTGGTCTCCCAGCTGTGCTGTAATTTGCGGGATAGCTCAGAGCCCTTCCTGGGGCCTGCCCTCCAGAGGATGAATATTAATAAATATGTTTGGTGACAGTAAATAAAGATAAATGCAAGCCAGATTGAAGTCTTTTTTTGTTTTCCTCCTTTATTTTATTTTATTTTTTTGCTTTTTGGGTCACACCTGGTGATGCACAGGGGTTACTCCTAGCTTTGCACTCAGGAATTATTTCTGCCGATGCTCAGGGGACCATATGGGATGCTGGGACTCGAACCTGAGTCGGCCTCGTGCAAGGCAAAGGCCCTACTGGCTGTGTTATTGCTCCAGCCCCCATTCCTCAATATTTTTAAGGATGAAAAAATTTTTTTTCTTTTGAGTCACACCCGGTGATGCTCAGGGGTTGCTCCTGCCTCATGCACTCAGGAATTACTCCTGATGGTGCTTGGGGGACCATATGGGATGCTGGGAATCGAACCTGAGTCGGCCTCGTGCAAGGCAAAGGCCCTACCTGCTGTGTTATTGCTCCAGCCCCCATTCCTCAATATTTTTAAGGATGAAAAAACTTTTCTTTTTTCTTTTGAGTCACACCCGGTGATGCTCAGGGGTTGCTCCTGCCTCATGCACTTAGGAATTACTCCTGATGGTGCTCGGGGGACCATATGGGATGCTGGGAATCGAACCTGGGTCGGCCCTGTGCACGGCAAACGCCCTACCCACTATCACTCAAGCCCCTCCTCCCTGATTTTAAAAGAATTGAAGACATTTGTTACGGATGCTCTAAGGTACTGTGGGTCTTGCAAATGGTGCTTACCGGTGGGGGTGGGGGTGGAACCTTTAGTTGAAAAACAATCCTGAAGACAATTCTCTTTGGGGATGGGGAGGGGGGGAGGGGTTTGCAGGAAGAAATTCTTTTCTTTTTTTGAAATCGCCCTAGTTGCTTTGAAAGATTCTGCCAGCCCAGCATGAAATGCTGTTGAGTTCAAATGAGAGTGATGACTTTTTTTTGATTTAATGAAAAAGCATAAAACAATCCAGAGAAAAGACAGCAATTCACGGGAAGGGTATTCTTCCATGTCATTCGATCTGATTTGGAATGGGCTGGGAAGAAGCCTTTGATGAAATGCTCTAACATGTTGGCGTATAAATAGTCTTGATACAAAGAATGAATCACCCTTTCATGTTTTCCACATACACAATTCTCATCTCAGGTTCAATAGCAGTCTATCAGAGCCGATCTAAATACAGCTGATAGCATCAAGTATCACATAGAAGACAGTTTCCCTAAAAGTTTTAAATTACCTCTTTGCCTGGAGTCAACTATTCGAGGCCTTTGAAAAAAAAGCACTGAAAAGGCAAGAAAAATCATTTAAATAAGCTGCCAGCAACTTAGAAGGTCTGTGAGATTTGGATAGCTCTTAGCGAGGAACATGTTTGTAACCTTTTATGGAAGTCTGTGGAAGCAGATAAACACAGAAGCAGGAACGGAGAGTAACACAAATGGTTACTGGGGCGACCTGGGTTCGCGGCTGACCTGGGTTCAATCCCTGGCATCCCTTTTGGTCCCCCAAGTGCCGCCAGGAGTAACCTCTGATCATAGCTGAGTGTGACCAGCAACCCCCGCCCCC